TCCCCTGCTCACGCTGTCTCTCTCTCTCTCCTAGAAATAAATAAAACATTAAAAAAAAAATAAAAGCAACTTAATGTTTAAAAACTTGTTTAACAGAACTGGACAAAATTTTGAAATTGAAATAGGAAAGGGAGAAACTGCAGTTACTAAAATGGAAGATGCTAGAAAATAAAATCATTAGGGATTTTATGTTTTAATATGTTTTAATAAATTGAAAAATCCAAGTGAAGTGACTAAAAGATATTAAAAATATAAGAAGTAGAAAATCTGGACAAACCAGTAAGTGAGGAAGAAATAAGAAAAGTCACCTGACAGCCAAGAGCGTAGCTATTGAAGGACCGCCTAAGATCAGTCACAGAAGATTCTTTGCGTTTGCACAGTGGACATTGTTGATGACCTCGGCATTTTTCACTGGAGCAGCAAGAGTGGAGGCCAGGTTGTGGCACGGCCGCAGAGAGAACTGGAGGTGAGGACGAGGATACAGAGGAGAGAACACATTTGTTGTCTGTTGTAAATGACACTTACCATCCTGCCTCGTGCAGAGTAAGGGGTATTTATGGTCGGAGAGTCTTGAGCATATTTAAGTGGTAATGGCCAGGAGCCCAGTACAGAGGGAAAACATGCAGATGCTGAAGAGAAAATAAATAATTGGTGATGAGAAGTCCCCGAGGAAGGCGGAAGAATTGAGAAGCAGAGTGCCGCTGGAAGGGACTGGCCTTGGGCAGGAGGAGGCTTTTCTCTTTGCTTCCAAAGGGAAGAAAGGATTGGTGGACTCCCTGTTCCATGGCTTCCCTCTTCTCTGTACAAAGTGGCTTCATCGTTTCTGAAAATGAGGGGAGAATGTGTACTGGTCAGTGTGGAGAATTGGGGAAAAAGCTGAATGGATAGGTGGGTGTCATTGAGGTCCAAGTGGTTTCCCAAATCGCTCAGCGCCCAGGGTGTGGGCACGGAGAGGGCCAGCAAGAGGGCTCGACTAGGCCCTGGGCTCTCACTTCTTGGTATCAGGACGCCTTTCCGTACTTCACTGGTGGATCCAGAGAGCTCTTGTTTACGTAGGATGTTTATTGATGATTACTCTGTTAGAAATTAAAACTGGGAAATTTAAAAATATTTATATTCTATGTTTACTTGTATTTCATACGATAATTAGCCCATACATGTTAACATAAATGTTTGTATGAAAACTTTATTCCAAAACAAAAGAAATTTAGCGAGAAGATTGACATTATTTTAGATTTTTGCAAACCTCTTTAATCCCTGGCATATTAGAAGGCAGTTGGGTTGTCCTGTTTCTCCATTCAACCTGTTGCGATGTGTGGTTTTCATTCAAGTATATGAAGAAACTTCATCCTCACACAGCTAGGTGGTTGGAAAAGATAGTATTTTAATAGCCTTTCAGATAATTATGGATATTTTTCTTTAATACAGAAAACTGCACAAATGGTAAGTTTCTTTAAGATTAGAGATTGGATTCTGATCTGAATCCGTGAACTTTTTTTTCTTTTTTAAGAGTTTGCTTTTAAGTAATCTCTACACCCAAGTTGGGGCTTGAAATTACAACCTTGAGATCAAGAGTTGCATACTCCATCAGTTGAGCCAGCCAGGTGCCCATCAGTGTAATACACAAAAAAATGTTCAATCTATTTATTGATCTGTTATAGTCTGGGTCTATTCTGCTTGTAGATCTTTTGCCAATGCATAATTTTGGAACTTGATTTTGTACTGTAATGGTTTGCTGAGTTTCATAGATCTTCTACATGTTACGTTCATTAAATGATACTTAATAATATCACCACCAACTGATCAGAAAAGCCTTTTAGTATTGGGAAAGTCATTAGGTTCACGGTGATGGCTGCAAGTTTACCACCATTGTGATCTTTCCTTGAAGGATGGAATTTTATCATTGGCAACAAATATTACCGTTTTCCTTTTAGTGACAGGCTTGCTTTGTTCAGTTTTGGGGAAATGTCTGCCAAATAGACTATCCTACTTCGTTATGAAGCGGAACTGCTTTATATGTTTGATTTCATTAAAGCAAATCTGAAAAGATACTAATACTCAAGGGCTGAGATTTAGTGGAATTATACTGTAACATGATATTGAAGAGGAGTGCCTGGCTGTCTCAGTTGGTGGAGCATGGGACTCTTGATCTTGGGGTTGTGAGTTTGAGCCCCCCTTGTTGGGTGGAGAGCTTACTTAAAAATAAAATCTTTTTTAAAAAAAGTTTCTGTATAGAAACTGGCATTTTTATTTTTCTACAAGTGCTTGTTGGTGAAGAAGGCAGTGAACTATGAGACATAAATAAAAATGCTTTTATTTTTATGCTGAGATTCCAGTGGCTTTCCTCACTGTTGCTTCTGTACCATCAGTGAAAGTGAAAGTGTGAGCACAGTAAAAATGGTGCGTATAACCTTTCAGTATTATTATGATAATGTGTTTGACCTTGCAGAACCTCTGAAAAGGTCTTAGGGACCCCTAGAGGTCCATGAACCACATTTGGAAAATTGATACTCTAAGATTTTTTTGGGTGTATTCAATGGAATTGAAATGTGGTAGTAAAAGGTACTGTAAAGATTGGACCACAGACTATGGTCTGGAGAGTATTTTACTTCTAAGAGGATACTAGTATGTGCTTGTCAACTTGTTGACATGGTGTATGACAGTTACATGCTCCCTGGTCATAAGAAACAGCTGGTGCTGACATAAGCTCTGGGGAGTGAAGAACTGTAGCAATACTGGATCAGTTCAAAGAATTTTAAGGACCTGAGTTCTAGTTGTGCGGGTTACTTAGAAGGCTCAGTAAGTTGTGAAGTTGTGAGCCTTTCCCACTCTCTGCTGCTCTCTCCCCTCTAAACTGGGGTTAGTATTATTCTGCTCCCACCTTTCTCAGGGTAGTTTTGAAGTTTGGATGATGCCATCTGTTCCTTACCCTAGGTCATACATTCTGCTTTGCATCTGTAAAGCTGTTTTTTGTGTGTGGTAGATGAGTCAGTAAATGTCTGTTGAGTTAATGAACTTTAACAAAACTGTTGACCTTGAGAATTCTAAATATACACAAAGAGAGAATTCTGTGATGAACCCCCATCTATCCTTGCCACCTCTCCTTGTCTTAACACCTGTAACTCTAGAAAAAGACGTGTTCTTTTATAAACAAGATAGGATCCCATCCAACAAAATTACATTTTGGTCCTTAATATCATTAAATATCCTCTCATGTTCAAATGTTCCCAGTTGAATTAAGATCTGTACATACACGTTTCTAGAGCTGGTTTGTTCAAATCAGATCCACACAGAGTCCACTTATTTTTGTTAACTATGACTTGTGGTTTCTTTTAATCAACATTTTAATCCCCCCACCCTTTTATGCCAGTAACATGTTAGAGAAACTGGCTAGTTTGATAAATGCCTCAGTATTTGCTTCCCAGTGATGGTGTTTAGCTTATTTCCCTGTTCCCTACATTTTTAATAAACGGGAAATTAGACCTAAATGGTTAGATTCACCTGCAGCTTTTGGGCAAGAGTACGTAATACTTGTGTGTGTCTCACAAAGGAGACACACAGTGTTTTCCTAATGCCAGGCTTGACCAGGGCATTCAAGTGTAGCAGTGTAATCTGTCCATTGTTCACCATCCACCTTTTTTTTGTCATGGTCCTAGCATCCATGATCATTGCCAGAGTGAATGAACTTGGGAACTGTGAGGTACCAAAGCACCTGTATGGAGGTATTATTGAGGTACCCTTATAATTACTACTAATAAATTAGGGCAGTATCTTTATTTGAGCTAAATCATTACTGGAATAATATCCCAAAGGCACAGCTATAGACAGTAAGAACATCCAAATTAGGGAATGTAGATTTAACAGTGAGAATAATTTTGTATATAATATAGAAAGAACTAATGTTTTTTTTCTTACAGATTTAGAGCCTGTCTCATAATATTGAGTCATATAAAAATAACTATTTTTTTTAATGTTTATTTCTGAGAGAGAGAGAGAGAGAAACAGCGTGAGCAGGGGAGGGTCAGAGAGAAAGGGAGGCACAGAATCTGGAACAGGCTCCAGGCTCTGAGCTAGCCATCAGCACAGAACCCGATGTGGGTTCTCGAACCCATGAACTGTGAGATCATGATCTGAGCTGAAGTCGGACGCTTAACTGACTGAGCCACCCCGGCACCCCCCAAAATAACTTTAAATGATTTTGTTAGTAAAGACTCAAACCATTTTATGTCTAGATTAAGAATATGATTTTAAGAATTGATCAGTACAAATACAGTTAATTGATAAAAAAGATTCCAAGTGACATTACCCTTGGAGCTGTCTGGGTATTGGCAATTAAGATGTCAGATAACAGTTAACCATGATCTTTGATTGTTTTTTGTTGGAAGAAAATAATTAAAGCATCCTATTTTACGTAGTTCATAATGAATTCGTTTGTAGAAATTATCGTTGAACCTAAGCATTGGGGAATTAAATGAATACAGTGTGAACATTTGGAAAATATTGTTTGTTTCTTGTTTTTGTTGGATATGCCTGTTAAAATGATACTACAAGAAAAATACTACATATTTAGAGAAGATAGATGATGGATGGCATGTTGAGGGAACCAACATGATACACCCCCTAGACCCCAGCTTTAGCATGCTCTTGAAAAACTGAAGTGTTGGGGTGCCTGGGTGGCTCAGTTGGTTAAGCGTCCAACTTCGGCTCAGTTCATAATCTCACGGTTCGTGGGTTCAGGCCCCGTGTGGGGCTCTGTGCTGACAGCTACCTCAGAGCCTGGAGCCTGCTTGGGATTCTGTGTCTCCCTCTTTCTCTGACTCTCCCCTGCTCGCTCGCTCGCTCTCTCTCTCTCTCTCTCTCTCTCTTTCTCTCTCTCAGAAATAAATAAAAACATTTTTAAACAATTTAATAAAAGAAAAAAGAACTGAAGTGTTTGTAGGTTGCCAATGGAAGATGAAATTTTACCCAGGGACCTATTAACATACTTCTTTCTTCAATAGGAAAATAAAAAGTATTTCAAGCGTAGTGAACTTGCAAAAAAAGAAGAGGAAGCGTATTTCGAAAGATGTGGCTACAAGGTATGGCTGCCTGCTTTTATGTTCAATTGCATATTTCTGAGTTTAAATTTATATAGCTAATGTTAAAGTGACAAAATTATTGATCTCTGTTCAATTTATCAATGTTATACGTTAGCCTATAAATGAGAAGCCTTCTGGAGAGGTATGAGTTCTTTTCTTTTTTCCTTCTTTTTTTTTTTTTTAAACATTGAATTCAGGAAAATACATGCATGACTTTTGGCTTGGAATGGTTTGGCTTTTTGTGGACAGCATGAAGTGGCTTGAGATCAAAGCTTGAATTTTGTTTCTTTGAATTCCTGGATCTGATTCTGCCTAATCTTCATCTCCACCACCAGCTCCTCTCCCCACCTCTCCCAATAAAAGTTGATTTTAAAGTTTCAAAAACATTTTGCTCATTCAGCCACAGTGGTACTACCAGTGGTATTTCCCCACTTTCACTTAAATATTTTAAGCCACTGTTTTTATGTTTGCATTGTTAATAATTCCTTTTGGCCCTAAACACCTCTGCCTGAGGTAGAATGCTGTATAACACTTATGTGCTTTTTGGTAATAAGGTCTGTTATATAGAGAATGTTTAGAAATATTAGAAACAAATGAGTGATCTGGAAGACTGTATATTTTAGAAGCATGACTAAAGTGTCCTTGAGGTTACACTATTATTACCCTGTTCAACTATTATCCTAGTTGAATAATTTATTGGGGTTTTTATTGGGAGGGGTTAAATGTTATGAGGTGAAGTTATGTTTAAATTATTTTAAAAGAAGAGCATATCTGGTTTAATACTTTTTAAAATAAGATTAGAAGTTGTGTTGAAATACTTTTGCCAAATCCTAAATTTGACATTAACTTTTGCTTGTGAACCATGTGTATAATATAACACTCTTGTGCATGTAATGGGGAAAGTCTGGAAATTAATTTATCTGGCATAGCATTTCTAAAAGGAAGCATGAGGAATGCGAATGGTATGTATATGCATTTGGTTTTATTTTGTGTTGGCAGAGAGCAGGTATTGGAAATGTAGTTTCATGTTTCTGATCGATGTTTAAATACAAAACTTTGCATTTGTATTTTGATGTTTTCCATAAATGTATTGATTTCACTTGCTTCTAGTTTAGGACATTAAGATACATTTTATGTAAAGAGCCACTGAATAGATAATAGGGCAGAAGAATCGTCATCTTGTCCATTGTTGTGTAACTCACACTTGGTCTGGAATGAGAACTATTTACCATGGGTTTAATCTGCTGACTTGTTGCTTTCACAGGTATTTAAATTTGAACCTTTTCAACATTTTGGTAACGTAGGAAAATAACTAAAAACAGGCAGTTTTGCCGTGTTTAAATGGCTTCAGTGATAGGTCAGTAGTTTTCTGCTTCTGTAGAGAAAAGCACTAAAGCAAAGTAACTACTGTAAAGATACTGCTTGTAGCACTGGGTCCAGTGGACAGAACTTCTTAGATCTTTCCTAAAAGTGGTTAACTGGCATTTTGTAATTAAAAATGCTTTTCATCCTGAATGTTTTGGAGAAATCCCTGTTTTTATGCTTAAAAAGAACACAGGGTTTTCTTTCTAGAATGTGTTAATATTTCCTTCTTGGTAGTAGGGAAAATGCAGCATGTATAACTTCTATTACTTTATGAGAACTGGCTTCCATTTAAAGGCTTGATGCTGATGTCATTGGTGAAAATACAGAAGTTGATTTTTTTACCTCCATTTTCTGTCCGCACTGTTAACACTAACATAACCGTTAGCCCTGAAGTATAGGGTCAGAAATTATATCCTTTTTAACCATACAGCCTTCTTAATGGACTGTGAGTATTTAATGTTAACCTATGTTAACATTAAATTTTTTTTAAAAATCTTTTGGGATTTTAAATTAGTTCCATGATCAGATGGGAAGCCATGTTTCGATATCTTTTTACAGACCACACCTTGGGGCTTACAAATGCTGAACTTAATTTTTTTAAACTGTGAGCTGGGCAGCAGACTCAAGAAAATACATGAAAAGATGCCCCTACCCATCCCCACCCGCAGGTTCATGCATACAAGAATGTCTGCTCTTGGGGTGGGGATGGGGGTGGGAGGTATGAGCAGAAAGGTGCTCCCTCTGTGGTTGGTGCTGTTGTGCTGTTACTGCCCCCCCCAAGGTTCAGAGCTCAGCCTGCGGGCAAATTGTGTGTAGCTTTGGGAGTGTTTCTACATGTCCAGCAGTGGTCTCGGGGCTCTTGGAATCCCCCCTTTCCAAAAGGAGGGTCGGAAAAAGCAGGAGCTTGAGGTTTCACATGTTTCTTAGAAAACACTGTTTTTTGGGGTTTGTTTTTGTTTTTGTTTTTGTTGAAACCCAGAGAAAGGATCAAATAACCCTGGAGGATGATTTTCTCAAAGAGGAGAAGTAAGTTGATGGTTGTTAAGAATAGAGTTTAACTTGTTTAGAGTCTAGGAGAAATGAGTCTAAACTTAAACCTTTGTAAGTTATAGATTTTGGAAATCATTATACATCTGTCACTTTTCAGTAGCAAGAGTGGTGTCTCCTGTGTGCGTGCTTGCTACCAGTGTCCCTGAGATGGAGAAGTGTGATGAGCTCTCAAAATCAGGCACATGTATTAGGAGCTTTTTCCTCAATGAAAAATTTAGAAAACCTTCAATATTCAAAACCTATTTAATTTCCATGAGCAGTTAATACATAGAATGATAAATACTACCTGTATTATCTTGCAAAAGCTGAATTTGATTTCTTTTGGGTATTACTATAGATACAGCCAAAAGAGGAGAACCAGAAACCATTAACTTCTTCGAATCCAGTGTTAGAACTTGAACTTGCAGAGGAAAAGTTACCCATGACTCTTTCTAGGCAAGAGGTAAGTGTATGTATGAGTGTCCTGAAAAAAAAAAAAAAAAACATCCACAGCATTTGCATTTATTTCCAGTTTCTTCCAGTAGGTTTTATGTCATTATTGCCAACACTGAATAAAAATACTGTGCAGTATTCATGAGGTTCTAAATTAATCTCTGCTTTTCTTGATACTCTTAAACTTTTAAAAGAATATATTTTTCTAAACTTTAGAAACTAAACACGTTGCACTAAATAAGTATATATACATTCTAAGTAATTATACTTAAATTATTTGTCTAAATTACTTTGTTTTTAATTTTTTTACTAAAAAATTTTTTGTGTTTTGTTTATTTTTGAGAGAGAGAGAGAGAGAGAGACAGCATGAGCAAGGGAGGGTCAGAGAGGGAGGGAGACACAGAATCTGAAGCAGGCCCCAGGCTCTGAGCTAGCTGTCAGCACAGAGCCCGACATGGGGCTTGAACCCCCAAACCGTGAGATCATGACCTGAGTCGAAGTCGGATGCTCAACCGACTGAGCCCCCCAGGTGCCGCAGATTTTGATTTTTAATGCAGCATGACACTGTCGACTCCAGGCTGTGGTCAGTGAGTTCTCGGCTGACTCTAGACTTGATTTTCCTTCTGTATCTGAAAGTTAACACCCCCTTCCATCTTTATACTTTTCTCATGTGTTCTGGTTACACAGATGGAGGCTTTGCTGAAACAGCCAAAGGAAGTGGACACGTTACAGATTTTCAGATGTGACAGTAACTCACTAGATCTGTTAATGGAAAATGAAAGAAAAAATAACCATAACTGGCTTTTTCTATTTAAATTTTGAAATACGTATTTGGTAACCTAAAGGAGGAATTATTATTACTAAAAACATAGGAAGTACTACTATTATTGTTAATTTTTTTATAGGTTATCAGAAGATTGAGAGAAAGAGGAGAACCAATTAGACTATTTGGAGAAACTGATTATGATGCATTTCAGCGTTTAAGAAAAATAGAGATCCTCACACCAGAAGTTAACAAGGTAAGAAGTCAGAACAGAACTCGAACAATATCCCTGTACCACATAAACTAGAATAGTATGGAGTTTGAGCAATTGTGTTATTATAGGGAAAAATGGAAAAATAAAGTTGCCAGACTACCGCTAAAGTAATTTTTAAAGTTGAATTTTTAAAAAAGCACCTGTCTAATTTAATTATAAGCACCTATCTTAATATAATTAATAGCACCTATCTTAAGCATACAGTTCAGTGCATTTTGACAAATTCTTATAAATGTAACCACTACACTTAGGAAGATACACAAGTGTTTTCCTCACACGGAGAGTCGCCTAGTGCCCCTTCTTAGCCAGTCCTCCTATTCCTTCTCCTCCATGTGTGAACAACTACCTTTTAAAATTCTACCTCTGTAATTAGGTGGAACTTAACGGAGGACCATGGGGGAGAAGAAGGGGAAAAATAGTAGGGGAGAGGGAGGGAGGCAAACCATGAGAGACACTTGAATGCTGAGAACAAACTGAGGGCTGATGGGGGTGGGGGGAGGGGAAGGGGGTGATGGGCATGGAGGAGGGCACTTGTGGGGATGAGTACTGGGTGTTATGTGGAAATCAACTTGACTGTAAACTATTTAAAAAATAAATCTATAAAATTCTACCTGTGTAGATTAATTGTGCTTGTTCGAGTATTTCATGTAGATGGAATCATGAGAGCATGTCTGGCTTCTTATGCCAAGCATAATTTTTAGATTCATCGTTGTTACTGCAGAAATCAGTAGTTTGTCATTGTTGACGGTATCCAGTTGTCTGAGTATACAACCATTTGTTTCCAGCTTTGGGCTATTAAGAATAAAACGGCTAATGATGCTCAGCATCCCTCCTCATCAGGGAAATACAAATCAAAACCACACTGAGATACCACCTCACGCCAGTCAGAGTGGCTAAAATGAGCAAATCAGAGAACTCTAGATGCTGGCGAGGATGTGGAGAAACGGGCACCCTCCTACACTGCTAGTGGGAATGTAAACGGGTGCAGCCCCTCTGGAAAACAGTGTGGAGGTTCCTCAGGAAACTAACACTAGAACTCCCATAAGACCCAGCAATAGCACTGCTAGGAATTTACCCAAGGGATACAGAAATGCTGAGGCATAGGAGCACATGTACCCCAATGTTCATAGCAGCACTCTCCACAATAGCTAAAACATGGAAAGAGCCTAAGTGTCCATCAACAGAAGAATGGATCAAGAAGATGTGGTTTATCTATACCATGGAATACTACATGGCAATGAGAAACAATGAAATCTGGCCATGTGTAGCAACATGAATGGACCTTGAGGGTGTTATGCTGAGCGAAATAAGTCAGGCAGAGAAGGACAAATATCATGTTTGCACGTATAGGAGGATTAGGAGGAACTTGACGGAGGAACAAGGGGGAGAAGAAGGGTGGAAATGGTGGGGGAAAGGGAGAGAGGCAAACCATGAGAGACTCTTGAATGCTGACAAAAACTGAGGACTGATGGATGTGGGGGGGAGGGGGGATGGGCATGGAGGAGGGCACTTGTGGGGATGAGCACTGAGTGTTATGTGGAAACTAATTTGACAAACTATTTGTAAAAAAAAAAAAAAAAAAAATGGCTATGACATTCTTCCACTAGTCTTTTTTATGTGTGTGTGTGTTTGTTGAGAGCACAGGCACATGCACACGTACTGGGGTGGGGGTGGGGGGGAGGCATAGACAGAGATCGTGACCTAAGCCGAAATCAAACGTTGAGCACTTAACCGACTGAACCACCCAGGCAACTGCACAAGTCCTTTTTGGATCTAGGTTATTTCTCTTGGGTAAATGTGACATCTCTTGATAAATACATGGAAGTAGAAGTACTGACTAGTAAGAGTAAATGTATGATTACATTTTTAAAAAAGTGCCAAATATTTCCAAATGTCCTCAGCCTTTGTTATTGTCAGTCTTTGAAATTGTGACCATTCTCTCGTAGGTGTAGTGGTATGTATTTCATTGGGGCTGTTTATGGCTCCCTGATAACTAAAGGGAATGAGCATCTTTTCATAGACTTACAGCCCGTATATTTCTGTGCAGAATGTGTAAAAATCTTTCGTTCATGTTTTAATTAGGTTGTTTGCCATTTTATTTTTGAATTCTGGTTCTTTATATATTCCTAAATACAAGTCCTTTGACAGATACACAGATACAAGTTTTATGACTTTACTTCTTGTTTCGCTTACCGTTTTCTTCATGGTGTCTTTTGATGGACAGAACTTTTAAAATTTGATGGAATCTACTTTTTTTCTTTTTTATGGTTGCTGCTTTTGATGTTTTGCTTGAGAAATATTTGCTGATCCCTCAGTTTTGAAGAGACTACTCTTCTGTATTTTGTCTAAAAGGTTAATAGCTTCAGCTTTTACATATAGGGCTCTGATCAGCATATGGTTTGTCTTGGTGAATATTCCTTGGGCTTCTGAAAAGAATGCATTTTCTGCATTGGGTAAATGTCGGGCACCCAGTGGTAGCGTTGTTCAGATCTTCTGTGGCCTTACTAACTAACCTTTTGGCTCTGGTAGTTACTGAGACACAGCTGGGGTGACCTGCGGCAGTGTAACGGATCACCCCGAAACTTAGTAGCTGCAAACAGTTTATTATCCTAAGATCTTTTTCGGTCCTCTGTGACTAACAAACCATCCTGAAACTTAGTAAGGAAATTAAGGATCTCTTACAGTTCTGTAGTTTGATCGGGGTAAACCGGGCAGTTTTTTTACCTTTGTGCTTGCATGAGGTTGAAGTCTTATGAGGGCTGTGACTGAGGTCATCTGAAAGATCCTCTGGACTGACCTTCCAGCTGCGCCATATCTTCAAGGTCCGTCCATGTGGTAGGATGTGTTTCCACATGTCCTTCCTTTTTAAGGCCAAGTAATGCTGTGTTGTATGGATCCATTGTTTTTATCCACTCAGCTTCAGCCGACAGTGGAGTCGGTTCTCCCTTCGGCTGCTGTGAATGGTGCTGCCGCCTGCGACAGAGGTTCAGGTGGCTGCTTTCACTGCTATTATGTGTGTCCCCAGATGGGGGATTGGTGGGCTGTGTATTCTGTGTTTCACTTTTTTCTTTTCAAGCATCAATGAATTTAAAACATTTTCTTCAGGTGTATTTAATGTTCACAACAATCTTTTAAAAATTTTTTCAGTCCTTTTTTTAAACCTTAACTTAGGGCGCCTGGATGGCTCAGTCGATTGAGCATCTGACTCTTGATTTTGGCTCAAGTCATGATCCCAGGGTCATGGGATTGAGCTCGGCATCAGGCTCCATGCTGAGTGTGGAACCTGCTTGAGATTCTCTCTCTGTCTCTCTCCTTCTCTCTGCCCCTCTCCTCTGTTCTTGGGTGCATGCACGCGTTCTAAGACAAAACCTTATAGTCTTGGAAAGAGTCTTTCCTTGTTTGAAGATAGTATTAAAATATTAACGTGAACTATTAAATTACTGTGTGATTTACTTTTTCTACTAGTCATATTTAGTTGAAAATTTTTCTAGTTATTAGTATTTTTTTACAATCTACTGTATTTAAAAAAATTTTTTTAAATGTTTATTTTGGGACAGTGAATGAGCATGAGCAGAGGAGGGGAGGGGCAGAGAGAGAGAATCCCAAGCTCTGCAATGACAGCAAAACTTGAACTCACAAACCATGTTATCATGACCTGAGCTGAAAACAGGAGTGGGACACTTAACCCACTGAGCCATGCACGGTGTCCCCAACTTGTTGTATTTTAATCTTGCTCAAGGTTGTCCCAGATGCTAAAGAGTTTATTTGTACCTTTGAAAAAAAAAAACTGAGGTACAATTGACATATTACATTATATTAGTTTTAGGTATACAACTTAGCAATTTGATATTTGTATATATTGTAAAACGATTACCACAGTAAGTCTAGTTAATATCTGTCACCATACATAGTTAAAAGTGTTTTTCTTGTGTTGAGGGCTTTTAAGCTCTACTCTTGACAGGTTTTAAATATGTAATAACAGGGGCACTTGGGTGGCTCAGTCGGTTAAGTGTCCAACTTTGGCTCAGGTCATGGGCTCACAGTTCATGAGTTCGATCCCCACATCGGGCTCTGTGCTGACAGCTCGGAGCCTACTTCGAATCCTCTGTCTTCCTTTCTGTCTGCCCCTCCCCTGCTCGTGCTTTTTCTCTCTCAAAGATAAATAACATATTTAAATACGCAGCGTGGTATTAGCTGCAGTCACTGTGCTGTGGCACTTCATCCCTGTGCTCTAACTGGAAGACTATTTTAAGCTGATAACAGCTAAGTGTGAATGAATGTTAAAGCTTTATATTTTTACTACCCTCTGCCACATATTAGGTTTTTTGATGTCACATTTTACATATTTTTATCTTGTAAATCCTTTAATTCTTACAGTTACATTTTTACTGGATTTGTCTTGAAATCTTCATACTAGTTTGTGATTGATCTACTACCTTTACTATATATTTACCTCTTCCAGCGAGATTTATACTTTCCTACGGTGTAATTAACACTATTTTCAGCTTAAGGAAGGCCCCTTAGCATTCCTTGTAGGGCTGGTCTAGTGGTGATGGATTCCTTTAGCTTTACTTGTCTGAAAGACCATTCTGAATGGTAACCTCCAGGTAGAGTGTTCTTGTTTGGAAGTTGGAAGTTTTTTCTTACAGCACTTCGAATATATTGTGCCCCCTCCCCTTTCTTGTGAAAAGCTTCTGCTAAAAGTCTACTGATAATCTTATGGGGGTTCCTTTATATACAACAGTGGTTTTTCTTTTGCTGCTTATAATACTCTCTCCTTGTCTTTACCTTTTGACATTTTAATTAGAAGGTGTCTTGGCGTGGGTTATGTGTGACTTTCTGAGGTTATTGCCACACCATTTTCCACAGCAGCTGCACCAGTTTACATTCCCAGCAAGGAAGGGTTCCATTTCTCCACATTCTCGCCAGTACTTAATACTTATTATTATTTTTGATCATAGCTATTCTGATCAGTTTGAAGTGTTATTTTGTGGTTTTGATTTGCATTTCCCTAATGAGTAGTAATGTTAAGTATCTTTTTGTTTGTTTATTGGCTTTTTGTATGTGGTCTTTTTTATTTTTAATATTTTGGATGTAGTCTTCTATTCAAGACCTTGCCCATTTTTAATGAGGTGTGGAGTTTGTTGTTAAATTGCAGGAGTTCTTTCTATATTCTGGATATTAGTCATTATCCAATTATTAATTTGCACATTTTTCTCCCATTCCATGGGTCATCTTTTCACTCTGTTGATAGTATCTTTGAAGAAAAGCTTTAAATTTTGATGAAGTCCAATGTACCTTTTTTTTTGGCCTGTGCTTTTTGTTGTATCTAAGAAATGATGGCCAAATACAGTATCATGAAGCTTTTCCCATGTGTTGTCTTAGAGTTTTATTGTTTTAACTCTTACATTTATGTCTTTGATCCATTTTGAGTTAATTTTTTTTTAATGTTTACTTTTGAGAGAGAGTATGAGTGAGGGAGGGACAGAGATAGAGGGAGACACAGAATCCGAAGCAGCCTCCAGGCTCTGAGCTGTCAGCACAGAGCCTGATGCAGGGCTCGAACTCCCAAACCATGAGATGATGACCTGAACTGAAGTAGGATACTTAACTGACTGAGCCACCCAGGCGCCTTTTTTTTGAGTCAATTTTTATATGTGGTGTAAGGTGTGGGTCTAGCTTTAAAGCTTCTGTTTTTTATCAAATGGTCACAAATTGGATGTGGATAGAATGTGGAATTGGCTGGTTTATTAGAAACCTAGTAAAAGCCTAGGATATAGGTGAGATGCTAGTCGTATATATACTATTGACGTTGCTGAATATTACCGGAACTCAGAATAGTTGTGAAACGTTGGATGTTTTAAGTCAACTGGGAAAATGGGTTGGAGACTCTAGCAGAGACCTGGTCACTTTGGCTAGAACTCCTTAGAAAATTAAAGCATTTATGGGGCGCCTGGGTGGCTTAGTCGGTTAAGCGTCCGACTTTCGCTTAGGTCATGATCTAGCCGTTGGTGGGTTCAAGCCCCGCGTCGGGCTCTGTGCTGACTGCCAGCTCGGAGCCTGGAGCCTGCTTCAGAGTCTGTGATTCCCTCTTTCTCTGACCCTCACCTGCTCATGCTTCTCTCTCTCTCTCTCTCTCTCCTAGAAATAAATAAAAATATTTAAAAAAAAAAAAAAGAAAATTAAAGCATTTATGGATGCACTCATTTGCATTTGTCACACATATACTTTATTTTTCTTACCAGAAGAGGTATTGTGCATACATTCTTTCAATTTAAATATGTTCATGATGATTAACTTTGGACAGTAATGATAGCTGTGTAATAAATTGAAACCTTTCTTGAGTCTCTAGTTTTACTGAGCTCGTAACTCCTTGTGGAGTAAGAAAATCAATTGGACTTATTCTTAGTGAAAAATCAAAAGTGAAACATCAGTGAAATTTTATAGGAGGTATAATTTTTCACCGTTCCCAGGGATTGAGAAATGATTTGAAAGCAGCTTTGGATAAGATCGACCAGCAATACCTCAACGAGCTTGTTGGTGGCCAGGAACCTGGAGAGGAAGACACACAGAACGATTTGAAAGTCCATGAAGAAAACACCACAATCGAGGAGTTAGAGGTAATCTCCACACCCACCTGTCCTCACTTCCCGGTGCATCTTTCATTCCCTGGGGCAGACGCCCAAGTTCATCAGATTATTCACATCGGAGCACCCCACTGTGGTCTTAGGTTATTACAAAGACCCTTTTAAAATGTCATGCTTTTACTTATTCACTCCCTTTTTCCTCAGTTCTCTATTCACAGTACCCTACTTCCTGCCTTCAAAAGCAATCATTTGGCTCTGTTTGATTTGCCTCCTTATATTTGTTGGTGGTCTTGTAAAACCAGTAGTTTTGTATGCTTGTGTTTTTAATATACATAAACGATACTGTACAGTGAAACTCCCTTTTTCTCTTTCCGCTTAGAACTGTATTTAAGATCATCCTTGAGGCTGTATGTGTATCTAAACCTTTGATTTGTAACTACGGCGTAGCATTTCATGCTTGGTGGCATTCACTGTCTTTTACTTTGTGCTGCCTCACAATGAGGGCTGCATGGCTCGGGCTCCCTAGGACCACAGACAGCTTTGGCAGGGGCGGCCTTGTCTGTACCGCTGTGGATTCAGAGGCAGGGTTGCTGGATTTGTAAATGTTTCACTTGTCCAGTACTGTCAGGCTGCTTTCTAGAACGCCCGTAGCAGCCTGCCCCCGTGTGAGTGCCTGTTGTTCCCACGTCCCTGCCGGCACGCGGCAGTATCTTGCTCTCTAATTTTTGCCACTGTGATGAATGTGGCGGGATACGTGTAATCTTAATTAAAAAGCAGTGTTATACTATCTAAATATCTAGCTCATGCTAAAATTAGGGCTTAGTTTAAAGCGTTAACTACTTAATAATACACAAACTGTTATTTTTCTGTTTCCTTTCATTCTTGGCTACACCCTGCGCTAGTAAGGTCATAGTTCTGGTAATTGTGCCCTGTCTTTGTCCCTCTCACTTACCGATGCACCCTAAATTTGACAGAAAAAAATCACTGTGAGCAGCCAATTGTTGGCTTGTTTTCTTCTGAAATAGCTATCTGTATTGAGATAGTCACTTACTGTACAACTTAGCCATCTCAGGTGTATAGTTCACTGGTTTTTAGTATATTCGCAGGTTGATCAACCATCATAATCTAATTCTAGAACAATGTTTCCCTAAAAAGAAATCTACCCATTAGCTGTCAGTCCTCTAAGCCCTCTTTTTTGATTTTTGATTCATAAAAGATAACCTACTCTCTAAATTTAAATGGCAAGTTGTATTTTCTTTTTTTATGTTTATTTATTTATTTTGAAAGAGAGTCTGTGCATGCAGGAAAAGGGCAGAGAGAGAAGGAGAGAGAGAATCCCAAGCAGCACAGAGCCTGAAGCGGGGTTCAGTGTCACAAACCATGAGATCATAACCTGAGCCAAAATCAAGAGTTGCATGCTTAACTGACTGAGCCACCTAGGCGCCCCATAGTTTTGTTTTTATCTAGAAATTCCTTAGTTTTTTTTTTTTAAAAAAAAATAGCAATTAGTGTATGTTATAAAGATCCATGTTCAACTCATGTTGGTAAAACACATCCTGTTGTTGCTCTTTACTAGTGAAGCATTCTGTTTTCCGCAGGCATTGGGAGAGTCTTTAGGGAAAGGCGATGATCATAAAGACATGGACATCATTACCAAATTCCTTAAGGTACATGCTTTTGGGCTACGAAAGAAGTACGTGTGGGCTGGTTAAGAACTGGTCTTTAATATTTGGTCTGTATTTAAGGGTTAAGGACTGGAAAGGGAATCCCTCGTTAAGCATATTTTGCATGTACGTGGTTTGTGATACCGCCATGCACTTGGGTCTAGAGGTTAGCCTGGGGGGGTTGTATGTGTACTTTCACTGTGGCACTTTAAATCTGACTTATTAACGTAACACACAGAAAAGAATCACAGCAGTGGAATGAACAAGAAGTTTGGGGAGTTTAAAATTTTTCGCAAACACTCGAGGAGGGAGTGCAATGAGGGGCATGCTCCAGAAGCTTTTATGATGGCAGTAAGGAGAGGAAAGAGGTGGGAAGACCTTGACGGAGGGGGGGAAAAAAAAAGCAAACACATCAGCAGCCTTTCAGAGACTGCTCGTTTTCACAGTTCTGCAGATAGCTGCGTATTCCCGCTGTGATTAGCTCCCTCCACCTCTGTTCTCGGCATTTCTCGCTTTCCTGGTTTAGGTAGAGTGTGTGCAAATGCCAGATTTATTATAGCATTTATTCACAAACTGTTTGCGTTCATGCCAAAAGATTTAAATGCAAGAAATGCTTTTACTTGTGTTTACAGTTTAAATACAACGTATTAGTCATCAGGATTCGCAGTTTGTTGAGGAGATGGCATGGAATTAGGTAGGGCGTGGGGGCTGGCGGGAGCTAGCATTTCCTCATGCAGTGACCACCTCTCCATGCAGACGGTAAGCATAGGGAGTGCCACTAGGCTGGTATGTCTTTGTCCTCCTTCCCTGTTTATCTGCCTGTAGAAAGGGTGCTCTTTGCATTTAAACCCAAGGGGCAGTAGGGTACCTTTCCAGGGCTGGGGGAGGGGTGAGGATGAGTCACAGTTTATTTTCCTTTTCTTCCTTCTCCTTTAGTCAGTTGATTCAGTGGGAATATTTAATCGAATCTCCTCTCCTGCAAATGTAAAAGTCCATCTAGAGTCATACCCTATATTATGGTGCTTGGCTTTATTGTGCTTTGCAGATAATGCGTTTTGTCTTGTTTGTTTGTTTTACAAATTGATGGGTTTGTGACAGCTGTGCTTCAAGCCAGTGTATTGGCGTCGCTATTTTCCAGCAGCATTTGTTTACTTTGTCTCTGTGTCCCATTTTGGCGATGCTTGCAGTATTTTAAACTTTTTCATCCTTATTATATTTGTGGTGGTGAGTTGTGAGCAGTGACTAGGATGTGAAAGCTCAGATGTTTAGCATGTTTTAGCAATAAAGTATGTTTAAACGAAGGTACATACTTTTTTTTTTTTTTTTAGACAATACTGTTGTAAAAGTTTATTTCTGTCGAATAGTTATCTGTGAGATAGTTCTTTTTAGGGGAAAATTGATTATCATTGAGGTAGGAGTAAATATACATATATATGTATATATACACACACAGAAACAACAGGGAAGCAGGGAAGTTTGTGCCTTGCCAGAGGCACTGCAGACCATACATGACAAACAATTTATTACTTAAGCATTAATTGGTGAGATTTCAGTTAGTCAAGAAATATACTCTACAGATGATATGTTGTTTAGTGTTTTAGAGAACGTTTAAGCCTTTTGAACCACTGGGTGGCATTGTAGTCTGAATTTGTCAGTTCTTTCCACAGTTTCTTCTTGGTGTTTGGGCTAAAGAACTGAATGCCAGAGAAGATTATGTGAAGCGCAGTGTGCAGGGTAAACTGAACAGTGCTACTCAGAAACAGACTGAGTCCTATCTCCGACCCCTTTTCAGAAAGCTACGGAAAAGGGTAAGGCTCCTTGAAAAATGTTTTAATTAACTGATTTTTTAAAAAACAATAATAAAGTTAGAGTAAATGCAATCTTGACCTATATATAGTAGCTTCCAAAAATAGTTATGTTTTTTCTTTTCCAGAATCTTCCTGCTGATATTAAGGAATCCATAACAGATATTATTAAGTTCATGTTGCAGAGAGAATACGTAAAGGTACGTTGCCATGCTGTGCATCTAAATCATGGTATGAGCCTGTCTGGGTTGTCTGCGTGGTATGTTCATTTAGTGTGGGAGTGTTTTACACAGGAGCTTTAAGAGTAAATGTGAAATAAATTAGTGGAAAAAAACTTTTTATTTTCTAATGTATTCTCAGCTTTATTGTTAGATGTTGATAATAAACTTTCTAACGACACTGGTTTTGTGGTCATTTTTAAGGTAGGTGTAAAGATTCTTCGGAGCATGAACTGGATATAGGCAATGTTCATTTCATGAATGGGATTGGATTTCAAAGATTGTTCAGGATTATGGCTTGGAACAAATTTTCCCATAGAAACGATGTTATGTAGATTAGTTTCCCAGGCCAGCTCTAAAAGCCTACTTAATCCGTAATATAGCTAAACTATTGTACTAATGATACAATGGAATTTAACCACCCTTTTATACTTCTATGAGAAAATGTTCCAAGTAAGGCCTCCAGAATTCATCTCTCCTGTTTCAGAGCAGCAACAATAGCAGACTCCTTGTGAGGGAAGACTTCACCCCTCATCCTGGTGTCTTTCCTCCTGAATGGGCTCTAGGAGGGGGTGACGGGGAAAGAGCTCTTGTGGCCCAGAGCTCCTGGAGCCGAGCTCAGAAAGGCAAGTGGAAGGCTGTCATCTGGTGGAGGGGAACACAAGGAGAACGGCCCACTGTACCCCTAGTGGGGATTGGCCAAGTGCCCCTGCATCTGGGCCATTAGCAGAGTCTGAAGCGGAAGCTTTTCACGGCAGTGCCTCCCGAGTGTGGGAGTAGGGAGTTACAGCGTGACGGTTCCAGCGGCTGTTCCAGGGCCATAGAATGGGCTCTGCTGGAGAAGTGGGAATGACCGGGCTTAGCCCTGGGCTCTGACCCACTGATCTCAAACACGGGGCCGGCTGGCACTTCCGGGTGCCACAGCCTCACGTTGATGAGGCTAGAGTGGTGGTTTGACCCCTTCTGTTGGAGAGCCAGCTAGTTTTGTCAAAGGAAATGTTTTTGTTTTGTGTCTATAAATTTTATTCTTGGAATAGTTTCTGTTAGTTGCATGGTGCTTACTAAGGACAGGGACCTTGGCATGGGTAGCTAAGGTCATTATCATTGCAGAAAGAAATCATGTGTCTACTAACGAGTGTGCCTTCCCTCTCTTTACTTTTCGCATTTGCATGTATGAGAATCGGGTGAAAGTTCATTTTGTGTAAACTGCAGAAGAACCAAGAAACTTGAATAACCTATTTGGACAGTTTTGGGGTAACTAAATAGTGGAAATTTTATCAGTCAATATTCATTGTTAAAATTTATACAGTTCAGAATCAGTGATAAAAGTGTGTAATAGTCTTTTTAAAATTAAGCTTTAGAAAACCGAGTAGAGCAAATTCAAACTTATCTTTAGGATAGAAAATGAACTTCCAGTTAACCTATTTGTAGTACCTGATTTTTAAAATCAGCTCTGCATATCATACACATAGGTATTGGATTTCTAAAGTTAAAATATCTTTGAGACCTGACTGGGTCTGAAACTCAGGATCTTGTAGAATTTACTTGATTTCTGTTTTGGTTTTCTCTTTTTTTTCCATCACAGGTAGCCAGGCTTGGTTTAGGAAGAGAGCCATTTGTCTTCATTGGTTTCTGTCTTTACATTTTGTAGCTTTTATTTTAAGGTTCTTGGCAGGTGGGAGGTTTCGAGGGGCCGAGGTGAAATGATCTCATCCTTAAACTATTCGACTCGAGGGTTAGTATTTAATCTCTGTTTATACATCCGCTGTGGACGCTGTGTGATAGTCCCAGCTCACAGAGCCCCCACTGCTCTGAGGTCGGTGCTGCTGTGCGGGGAGTGGATGCAGTTGCAGTTTGGATTATGAAAAACCAGTTAACCTCCATCTTCTGGGTGACCACCTGTGGAGGAGACTGGATCTAAAGGCGACCCGAACTGGAGTTTGTGTCCCTGCATCAAATAACCTATCTGGTAATTCCAGATCTGAAATTTATTAATTTCCAATGCACAAAGACTGCAAAGGAATGTTTGTCTTTTTACTCACAGGATTAGCTTTGGTCTCTGTTTTTCCAGGACATTTGTGGTCCTGGGAAGGGCAGTCGGTTACCTCATATTTTAATTTCTTTTGTTTGAATAATGGGAATGGCAATACTTTAAACATGCTCAGGAAATGGATAAAAATTACGTCATAAATGGTTGTGAAATACTTTAAAAACTTGGACCAGCCCAGTATTTTTGCTTTTCTGATCTCTCAAACTTTGTTTTTAGGCTAATGATGCTTATCTTCAGATGGCCATTGGAAATGCCCCTTGGCCCATAGGGGTCACCATGGTTGGTATCCATGCCAGAACTGGTAGAGAGAAGATCTTTTCTAAGCACGTTGCACATGTTTTAAATGATGAAACACAGCGGAAATATATTCAGGTAAGCATTTGGGAGGGAATGAGTTGCTCTGGAGGTTAACATGCTCCATCTCCCAAACCGTAAATTTTTAGAGCAGGAGAAGAATTCTAGCAAATTAGACATAGCACGATAGGACACAAGTCCACTTTTCCTAAGTACTTGTATTTAAGACCTCTTCCCTGCATAAAATGGAACCCTTGTAAGTTTCCTGCTTGATGCAAGACAGGGTGAAGGTTGTGCTTTAATTACGTTAGCAATGAAGTAATGCTACTTCAGTTGGTTTTGGGAGTTTAGTCAAGAAAGACAAATTTAGACTTACTTAGCAATAAGTCTCATTTTGTTACTTCGCAGCTAGATTTAATATCTACTGGGCTAAAAAAAAAAGCATAAATAGTAAAAATTTGGGTTTAATGAATGTAATTATTTTTTAGTAACATTTAGACACAAACAGGTCTCAAATATTGATGGTTTATTTTCTTACAGTCCTATATGCCTCACATAAACTTGTTTGCATTGTCGTTGGGTAAAACTTTTTTTCTTAGTGGGGGAAAAAGTCAACTGTTAGGCAGCTTTTGCCAAATTGTCAAAAGTCCCAGATTGTGTCTATATAATGACTTGTGCCGGATGTTAGTTCTGAAGCTTAAAGATGATACTGGGGAAGTTTACTTAAAATGTAAAATTCACAACGTGCTTTCAGATTTTGTGCCAGAGAACAATTATTACCATATTCAAGAATTATTTTGCTATGTGATTTCAGTTCCAAGTGCTAAAGATTAACTTGTGCGTCATGCTTTATGCCTTATTCATGTATATTAGCGTTTTCAAAATAGGAGTTCAACCTGACTCCCTAATATGAATTATAGGATTTATAGAGTTCAGATATACTTATTGAAATTCAAAGGCCTTTCCATTTTTTAATAACAACCAGTGACTGTATTGAAGGCAAAAAGCTTTTATTTGGGGGCGAAAAACTCGTTTGGCTTTAACAATACAAAAGTTTCCAGTGGTTAAATGTGTTAATTGTCTTCAACTGTACCATGGCCAAAGCCATAGTGTGTATAACTACATAAATTGTCTTAAAGGCAATATTTTGGTTTACAACACTGGTGTGATTTCCACTTCCCCACGAACTGATTTTCTTAAGAATACATTTTGTAGTTTTAAAGATGTCTGATTTATTTTTGGAAGTTATATAATGACCTGTTTCCTTTCTTTGGTCTTTGTTTTTAATTGTCCCCTTCTCATTTGAAAAATCCTCCTTTTTTTCCCCAAGATGATTAGGGAAAATTGGTAAGCATACTGTGAACTTTAGGAAGGTGTCTGATGTAAACCCACTAATACTCTTGCGGGCATATGTAAATATGGTAATACAGTCAGGTGGGCTCCTAGTTTGTGGAGTGCAGGAAGCCACCGAGTGCGGAATAATGGATCCATGTCTGTTGGGGTGGATGCCAGTGAGATGTCATGGGGTTCTTAGTCCCCTTAAACTGTCCTGTTAAACATTTTAATGACTAGTTTGGTTGACTATACTAAGAGGTTTATTTATCAGATTTATGGACAGCAAGAAGCAAGAACGAGAAGGGTATGTGTTAAGGAAGAAAAGACATTGGCTATCCAGAAGTTCTTGACAGACTGAAGAAAATAACAGTTTCTAAAAGAATAATATTCACCAAGGATCCTGACAATAAAAATATTTGGATCCAGTGACCTAGTTGCTTAAGTATACAGTCTGAGCAATGTATGTGAGGAAGGGTTGGGGAATACAGTAGGCTGTATGTGCAGTAAGAGAAGTAGTATAATCTGGCTGCCGCAAAGTCTAATGATAGCTTCTGCTTCATTATTAGACGTGATAATGTAGTGTAGGTTCTACAAGTCAAGAACGAAGTTCTCTGTTACATACCCGCAGTCTAGAACAGTACCTCACTTGTGGTGGGTGCTCAGTAAATATTTGCTGATTGAATGGATACTGTATAGGACAAGAGACATGAAAATATTGTTCCTTTTTTAGTCCTTGAAGGAGACTGGTGGAGGGGATCTGAGCAAGAGAGTTGTGGGTAATGGAGGAACTCTCTGATGGGAGAGGGAGTAAACTTGTCCTATAGTTTAGGACCAGTTAAGGTATAGGAAGGAAGACCTTTCTAATGAGTGTAAGGAAACAATATTTTTCATTTTATTAAACTTTTATTTTGGTGTAATTACAGATAGACTCACAAGAAATGGCAAAAATAGCACAAAGAAGCCTTTTTAACAGGAAGAATTGCCCTGAGACAGGAATACGGCCACTGGGAAGGTGTGAGGGAGATCCCTACCACTTGATATTTGCAAGCATCAAGTTAACTATTGCTCTTTTTTTCCTACTATTTATTCATTTTTAAAAAATTTTTAATGTTTTATTTCTGAGAGAGGGAGGGAGAGAGAGAGAGAGCCAGTGTGAGCAGGGGAGGGGCAGAGAGGGAGGGAGACACCGAATCTGAAGCCAGCTCCAGGCTCTGAGCTGTCAGCACAGAGCCCGACGCGGCGCTCAAACTCATGAACCGTGAGATCGTGACCTGGTCTGAAGTTGGACACTGGACTGAGCCACCCGGGTGCCCCAACTATTGCCCTTTTTGGTCCTTTGATTGTTTTCTGTGATTGTTCCCTTGAGGCCACTGCTTAAACCTAAGGTTGCAAACCCACATACCCATGACAAGTAATAAGTGAGCTGAGTATTAAACACTTGACCCTCTGTATTCTGTTTTCCTACTTTCAATAAGGAAACAAATAGAAGCAGTATTTCATTTTGTCTCAACTTTGTGTCATAACGGGACAGTGCAAGCTAGTGTGAGGTGTCAGCTGTCTTAATGGGATGGTTCAAGCTAGTGTGAGATGTCACCTGATGCTTGCCCTCGGGGTCACTGGAGTCACTTCAGCTTATGGTTCTCTTGGAGGAATATGGGTCAGTGTTGCTTGATCTTCCTCTTTTTTTTTTCTTCGCATATGCCAAAAATCTTAATCTTTTTCTAGTAAATTATATGCTTCTAGTTTTTAAAATCTTTGTTCATTTTCTTGAGAGAGACAGAGACAGAGTGCGAGAGGGGGAGGGGCAGAGAGAGAGAAAGAGAGGGAGACACAGAAGGAAGCAGGCTCTAGGCTCTGAGCTATCAGAGCAGAGCCTGATGTGGGGCTCGAACCCACCAACTATGAGATCATGACCTGAGCCGAAGTTGGCCACCTAACTGACTGAGCCACCCAGGCATCCTTGTAATGCTTCTATTTTTAAAATATTGGCACCAAATTTAAAAAGTTAGCATTGTGTTAGGACAAACAAAATGCTGATTTTTGATGTCTTAAAATAAACCTATGGTGCTAATCAGCTCGAGGCCAAAGAATGCTGCCCCCCCCCCCCCAACTTCCAATGGTGGAATTTTATGAAATTCTTGATTGTCATGAGCTGAGTGGTTTGCTAAGCTGGCTTTTGAATCTCCCTCCTGTTACTTTGGTGCTAAGGTGGAGTTGATTTAGAATATCCTTTTTTTTTTTTTTTTTTTTTTTCAATACAGGACTATCCTTGGGGTGGCTGAGCGTCTGACTTTGGCTCAGGTCATGATCTTGCGGTTTGGGGGTTTGAGCCCCCCGTCGGGCTCTGTGCTGACAGCTAGTTCAGAGCCTGGAGCCTGTTTCGCATTCTCTGTCTCCCTCTCTCTCTGACCCTCCCCTGCTCACTTGCGCTCGCGTGCTCTCTCTCTCTCACAAATAAATAAAAACATTAAGAAAAAATTTTTAAATACTTTAAAAATAATAATAAATAAAGGATTATCCTTTAAAAAGGGATATGTTAAATATATTAAAGTCAGGGGTTGACAAACTTTGTCTTAAAAGGTGGTAAATATTTTAGCATTTCCCAGGTCTCTGTTGGAGCTGTTGAATCCTGCAGGCTGTAGTGGGAAAGCGGCTGTTGGCTTAGGAAAGAAACGTGTGGCCTGTGGACCATAGTTTGGTGTTCTGTGGTGACTACCTAACCCAGACATATTCTGCGTTAAGGTATTTGCTGAGTATGTCATTTAATAGGGTCGTTATTTCTTGTTAAACTGAGCTGCAGTAAACCTCTGCATATGAGGTGTACCAATCTTAAGTGTACAGTTCAGTGATTCCTGATGTAATATTTATCAAGACAGGAGAACAAGAGGGAGATACAGAACATTTCTAGCAGCACCCCAAAAGTTTGTTCATGCCTTTTCCCAGCCCAGATCCTCTTCCCATCAAAAGTAACTGCTCCAGACTTGTGTTACTATCGGTTATTTTTGCCTGTTTTTGGACATCATGTAATGGAACCTTGGATGTATGGAACAATTATTTTTTTATTTAGAAATCCCAGTGAGAAATATGTTAAGGTTGAAAACAATTCAAGGGGCTGTTGTATAGTACTGGGATTTCATCTTTGGGTTTTCTGCAAACGTCTCTGGGTTTAAACTGGGAAAGTTGTTTGAAGTGTTCTCTTGCTTACAAAAATTAAACACAGCGCAGGGAGGGTCTTTTCACCATGCAGATCAAAGAAAAGTTGTATAGTTTATTAGCTAGTCTCCAATCTGAGATTAGATTCACATTGGTGGTAGTAACTTTAAGAACTTTGTTTGTTCTGCCAGATACAGATGTAACCTTTGGCTCAGATTTGAGTAAAGCTTCTTTTATACAGATTATAGGAGGCTCTTGGTTATTTAGAGGCTTTATAATTCAGTCATTTAAAAACCTCTCTTGAAAAGGTTCATATCTTGGGCCTGCTTGTCTGTAAAGAAGAGAAGGAAGAAAGGCTGAAACTGCCGTTAAGCGGCTCTGCCCCACAGGCCGTCTTCCCACTTGCCCTCGCCTTGGCCTCTGCCCCAGAAGCCTGGCTCTGGTCAGCACCATTGGCAGTCGCCCTTGGTTTTTGCTTCTGATTGCGGTTGGTAGAGAGATGGGAAGTCATTTTGTAGGTGGGAGAAGAGCAGGTTAGGGATATTGATTTCCCTGGCGTCCTCCTCGTGGGGTCTTTGAGGGTTGAAGGC